GATATGGGAACAAAGGTATTGCCTCTTTCAAAATTTAAATCCTGTTTGTCTTTACTGAATATCGATATTAGTTAATTTTGCTTTGCAGGGATAACTTGGTGTCATCAAGGGACTATAGTAATGTTGGAAGTCCATTGGCATCAAGATGGAAGTTGTTGGGCTGTGTTGCTATCTTCCTCCTTTGGGACAATGATGAAAAATGGCTAAGGCCCAAACTGTCTTTCCAAAATAATGCAAAACCATGCGATTGTCCAATAACATAGCCCCAACCCTGAGACTCGGACCCAATAATTCCGAAATCGTGTTTTGAAGCCTAACACCTTCTTCGATAGTAGCCCAACTCGCTTTGAGTAATATTATTCATCTCCACTGGGGAAGAAAACACATTTTATCTGGTTTTAATGTGACATTAAATGATAGGTGAAATTAAATAAGTCATTTAATTTTACATTTCATTTAACATATCATTTAAAGTCATTTAAACTGTGTTTTCATCTCCACGGGGATGAATAACATTACTCCACGCTTTTGCTTTATTTATTAATTTGAGAGATCACCTGAACTGTTGGATTGAAAATGTGATCAATGGTTGGTAATGAGGGTATAAATATTAACCCTTGGTTGTCATATTATTCAGTCTTCTGCAGGGTGATTGGTTTCGAGATTGTTGTCTCTTCTTCCCTTCGTGTTCCAAATCTCAGGTTGGAAGTGTGATCTTTGTATTTCTTTTTTTTAGATCTTCTTTACTATTAGTTGTATTGAAGAGGGAACCTTTGTATGATCCTTGTGGTTGCCTTTTAATCAATAAATGTGCAACTAAAATGATCCAGGTTAGGGTTTTGAGTGTCATACAGATTCAGGTTCAATAATTTGATAAGCAGATTCATTATTGGATGAACGATCACAATAGAATTGGATCAATTTTTCCACCACTGGCAATTTTATGAAACCAGCCCATGAATGTAAAACTAATATTTATGTTGGTTAAAATTAGGCCTCTCAGCCCTCTCTTCTGTATTTCAGCACAATCATAAAACAAAAATTAGTTAAGTACGCGATTAATAGAAATTACTATAAATGCTCATCAATGTATTGGAATTCCCACTCTCAAATAATAATAATAATAAAAGACCTTCATTAATTTTCTTTCACATAAATTTGTGTAAAAAGAAACACTAGAAGACACGTAATGGGTGGAAGGAAGCGTCTTGTGTGGTGCTATTTA